ACTTCTTACAAATAGATCTACACCTACCTCTTCAGCTTCAACTCTTGTTCTTCCTACATAATCACCCTTCATCACAAACCATTCAGAAATATAGGTCTTTGAGTATATAATTTCTTTCAAAGGTAAAATGCCCTCTAGTTAAAATGCTATCTGCTACATCATCTTTTTTATCTAATTAACTCTCCAGACTCAAACACATGTTATTCATTCAACACACCCTCCCTCAGATATAATTCCCACCATGCCTACAAAACACCTTATACTGTTAATTTACTTCTTATGTAGTCTGTAAATTTCAGGATAACAGGACTATGCTGCTACTCTCTAATACATAATACAGTGGCTGCCACAGTAAGCACACAAGAAGTAACCATTTGCTGAGTGGATGAATTAATCAATCGGAACTAACTGGGATGATGCTGATTCTGTCTTTAAAAATAATAACTTTACATGGCTTAAATTTATGACATCATGATAGAAGTAGAAAGATGAAGAATGACTATTAGAGGCTGGACAGGATGGGAGAAGCTGATAGATGTTGACTAGCAAAAATAAAATTATAGATAGATAAGAAGAACTATTTCCAGGGTTATAAAATATAGTGATGAGAATTTAGTTAACAACTTACTGTATATCTCAAAGTAACTAAAAAAATACATATATATTTTTTTAATGTTCCCAACCCAAGCAATGGCAAATGGTTGACACGCATACTAATTACCCAGATTTCATCGTTCCATAATGTATTTTTTTTTGAGAAGTTTTTGCTATAGGGCACGTGCACTCGCCAGAGAGACAGAGAGTCAGAAAGCGAGAAATCACCCCCCAGGGGGGATGGCCATGCCACAATCCCATCTCCTCCATTCTCTTCTTGGGATCTCGGGCACACATGCACACATGCCCAGCATGAGTTTATGCCACCAGGTCCGGGACTCAAACCACGGTCAACTACATGGGAGTCCAGACGCATAGCCATTACACTAACTGCTGGTCCCCCATAATGTATTCTTACACTGAAAAGTCACATGGTAGTCCCACAAATATGTAAAATTAGCATATGTTAATTTTTTTAAAAAATGGAAAAAAGTATATGTGGTCACGGGACATATAATCTCAGTTAGACAGGAAAATTAATCTCAAGGGATCTATTTTGCAATATGGTGACTGTAGTTAATAACAGTATCTTATATATTTAAAAACTGTTAAGAGAGTAGATTTTAAGTGTTCTCATTACACAAAAGTATTGATAAGTATGTGAACTAATTTATATGTTAAATAGCTTGATGCTTTCTCTATTTCTCACTATCATGCATGAATGCATAGTAAAAGAAAAATGTTTATATATACATATATATGCACACACATATATTTCCATATACACACATATATACATTATTTATACATATAGTTCTATTTATGTATAACATATAATTTTTATTTCTATTTCAAAAAAATAAATTTTGGTCTTTCCTAAAGTTTTCAGTATGAAATTCAAGAAAAATCAAGAAACATGATCTATTTTTCTCTATTTCTTGTTTCTACTGTTGATCCAGGTCAGTTCAGAAAATGTGGATTACGACATGAAGACCTTGTCGGGGGTACTTGTCTCTCTATCTCCTCTCTCTCTTTCTGTGTGTGTATGTGTCTCTCTCTCATGGAAGAAAAAAACTGAAAACTAAAGTAAACACTGTTGGCTTTTTTAAATAACAGACAATTTAAGAAAATTGTTTTCTTCATTTATGATAGAACATCTCTATGGTCATGAGAGTAAGAAAGAGAAAAGGTCCACAGGGTCTAGTCACACAATGATTCCTTCCTCCAGTCCTCCATCCATATTCACTCATGCATATGACCAACATACGTCAGGCTTGCTGGGCAGAAGATTCAAACAGCACTCACCAGTCGAATCCAGGCTCTCTTAAGAAGCACATTACCATTGTGCCACAGAGCTAGCCCTGTTATTTTTAATAATAGAAGACTTCAGAAAGTCTTTGTTAGTATATACCTGTCATTTAATAATAGAGGTGGCCTCAAAAAGTCTCATTCAAAGTCATTGTTTAGACTACAACAATTTTACAACATTTAGCAAATGTTAAAAAATGTATTTGAGGGACCAGCAGTTAGCCTAATGGCTATGTCGCTGGACTCCCACATAGTCGACCACGGTTCGAGTCCTGGACCCAGTGGCTTAAACTCACACTGGGCACATGTGTGTGCCCAAGATCCCGAGAGGAGAATGGAGAAGGGATTGCAGCGTGGCCATCCCCCCTGGGGGGTGATTTCTTGCTTTCTGTCTTTCTGTCTCTCTCTGTCTGTCTGGCACGCACACACGCCCTATAGCAAAAAAAAAAAAAATGTATTTGATATAAGTTATTTAATACTGGCCCATTTCCTCTAAGATACTGGTATATCACCCAATCAAAAGGGTTGAATGTTCCCATTTAAAAAAAAAAAAAAAAAACACCTGGTTATGGGTGTGATAAAAGGAAATCGTTGAAAAAGTTAGTTAGGGGACAAACAGATGGCATAATGGTTATGTAGCTGGATTCCCACATAGTTGACATGGTTCAAGTCCTTGATCAAGCAGCTTAAATTCACACCGGGCATGTGTACATGCATACCCAAAATCCCGAGAGGAGAATGGAGGAGAAGGGATTGTGATGTGGCCTAGGGGGTGATTTGTCACTCTTTCTCTGTTTCTCTCTGTCTTTCTGGCAAGTACACGCTCCGTAGCAAAAAAAAAAAAAAAAATTCTCTCTTACAGAAAAAAAAGAAAGAGAAAGTTCTACTCAGGAGGCAATTATTAATGTATTTCCCTTCATTTTTAGAAAAAAGTAAAAAGTTGCACTCCAAGAGTCAAAAAGTGGAACCAAGTATGTGGAAACCCAAGTTAGGAAGGTAAAAGAGACTTATACCAGTTTTTGCCAGTATAGTTTACATATGATATCATTTAATCTTCACAAGATCCTCTCAAAGTATTGAGAGTAGTTTTATTCTTCCCTTACCTCAGAAGAAGAAACCAAATTACAGATTCAATTTTCTCAGTCACTCAGCTAGTAAACAATAGAGCTAGGACTCAAGCAATGTTTTTCTGCTACCCAAAACCATGTTTCCTTTCCCCATTGTTCTAATCTCTAAAGAAAGTAGGAGAAATTCAAGCAAATTTCCCCCCAAATAAAATTGAACCTTACAAAATCCAAGTGTCAATAATACAGGATGAAGAATCCAGAAATACAAATAGTACAGGAGTTTGAAAGACTTGAGTAGTACTTAAAAAAATTTTTTTTTTTCTTGCTAAAGTGAGCATGTGCTTGTCAGAGAAATTGAGAGAGAGAAATCACCTCCCCAGGGATTTGGAGCACACACATGTGCACACACACACACACACACACACACACCGTTTTACAAGCCACCAAGAACTGCAAAGTCAGCCATGAGAAATCACCCCCCCAGGAGGGATAGCCAAACCACAATCCCTTCTCCTCCATTCTCCACTTGGGATTTTGGACATGCACACACACATGTCTGGTGTGAGTTTCAAGCCACCGGGTCTGGGACTTGAACAACTATTGGTCATGTAAGAGTGAAGCACTGTAACCATTGCACAATCTGCTGATCCCAGGAAAATTATTTTTTAATTATTTTATTTAACTTACTTACTTACTTATAATTTGACCAGAGAACTACAGAGAGAGAGAGCGAGGGAGAGAGTGAGAGAGGGAGAGAGGGAGTGTATATGCCCTATAGCAAAAACCTCTCTTAAAAAAAAATGATTTAACTACAAAATAATGTATTAAATTTGCTTTTTGCCAAAAGAAAAAGGAATATGAGAATATTAGAAATTACAATTTATAATTAAAATAAGTAAAATAAAATAATTTTCCTTAAATTAAAAATAAAGAAAATGAATATGAAAATACAATGGTAGGGCCACGCTAGCATTAAAAATGAACAATAGTGAATAAAAGAAAGACCCAAAGGAAAGATTTAGCTTAGCTATTAGAGAAAATTATTTAAACAAGAAAGTCAATCAAATAAGGCCATCATTTGCTTCATGGAGTAGTGATATTATAATCACCAGGTGTCTATGAAAATGCATGAACAGAGTGTAGGGTCCTTTTTAAAAGCAAGAAACACAGAAGAGAGTCTAAGAGTTTTTTTGCATCATTTCCACCTAGACACTACTAATGATTTGGTCAAACTAAGTAAAATAAGAAAGTAAAAAGGGCTTTAATAATGGTACCAGCAGGTGGTATGGTGGTTAAGGTGCTGGACATTCCCACATGGCCAACCATGGTTCAAGTCCCAGACCTGGTGGCTTGATTTCTCACTTTTCCTCTCTCTCTGACTCTGGTCAAATTAAAAAATAAAGTAATTAATAAATAAATTAAATAAATAATTATTGTTTTAAAAAGATTTTAATAAAATTATCTTTCTGCTAAAACTGCCTTAAATGAATTTGTTTGGATAAATAAAACAAAGAAGGTATCTTGTTATCTTCATAATGGATTACTACAAGCATCACAAACTACCTGTCAATATTTAGTAATAATAATAGTTACTTTCCAATTTATTCTAGATTAAGAGGACATGATGAAGTAAAACTGATTTACAAACAAGGATAAGCTTCCAAATGTCTTATGTTTTAAGGTGTCTCTTTCTTAAATTATCTACATCTATATATTATATACTAACTATATAATTATGTTATTTATTTATATAGCATAATAATTAAAATAGTCAAAATCTAGAACTTTCTCCTACCCATTTCCTTTTCAGTAAGCCATCTTCCAATTTCCCACATGCTTTTTGGACCGACTTTTGGCTTCCTTCTTTTGAGATACACAGTAGTCTTCACAAACCCAATCTAGTCGATTTTCAACGGGTGACATTAAGAAATTCTTGTGAGGCCAGGATGCAGCAGGACTGACACCACATTCAGAGAATGAAATTAGAAATGAGAACAATGCTGAGGTAAACTAAAGCCATCTTTTACTTACAGCCGACACATGCTGCAAAAGACACATGACATCAATCATGTCTGCGAGGATAAGGAGTCTGGTTACTGCAGCCAACAAAGCACGAGCAGCTTGAACCACCGCCTCCCTTTTCGGGAGATAACAAGGGTCATCAGTAAATCTCTCAGCTGATAATTTCAGAGCTTCGCCTGAAAAACAAACGAGTTATACCTTAAGTTTCAACTATGCCTATTTTAGCACTTATCAGCCAACCTAATTCCAAGTACATTCCATGACTAAGCATAATATTAAAATACTGTCAGTTGATGTAAGAACATTGTCTCAATAAAAAATGCAGTATCAAATTGACATTTGTTTCTGATAAATGTTCTGGAGTTTAAGAAGCATGATACTATCTTCCTCCAAGAAAATTGTGCTCAATTGACAGTAACATTTAGCAAAATTGCTCTCAACTTCTGCACTTGCTGAATCTCATTTGCTGTGAAAGGTTTCATTACTTAGACTTCTATGATAAACAATTCTGTTTATAAAAATAGGTAAATCTTCGTTGAGTTATTTTCCAATTCAAGAGCTAGCCTTTAACATAAGACAGCAGTTCTCTGATAAAAGGTTAACATAGGCAGATTTATTTTAAACTATCAATATAATGAATAAACTAAATACTAAACTTGAGCACAGAAATAATACTTCATAGTGCATCACTTTTAGAGCAATATCATGTTCACTCCTTTTAAGGTATTTTCATTTAAAATATACTTTTTTATAAATGTGTATATGCATTTGTTTTTTAGGGTTCCCAGTTCAGAGGCTTATAAGATGAAAATAAAATCTCCCTTTACCCTCCTCCAGTAACATAATTACTAGAAAATTACCACATCCACTATTTTTTATGTTTTAAATTTAAACTTGCTTTTATTATACAAGCAATATGTTCCCATTACTTTAAAATAATTCACCATACAGAAACGTATAAATTTAAAAATTTTAAATTCTGCATGCTAATTTCCAATAACACTGACTATTCAGCTCTTGTATATCTATGCAAAAAAATTTCCATGAATGTATGGTTTGTCTATGTGTGCATATAAAAATATACATATGTATGTATGCTTTATGTATGTATGTCTTATGAAAGTATTCATATAATTCATATATATTAATGTATATTTTATAGAAAGAGATTCTTTGTCACAAGAGAACTTAATATAGTTACTTTATATGTTATAAATGGAAAATATAAAAGCTATAGAGCATGCTCATAAATGGTGTCACACTACAGAAATTTGCTATAATTTGTTCATTTCACTTATCAATTTATTTCCCTTTCACACTAGGTTCTAGATGAACAGGAAGCAATATGGCCACAGTAAGTAACAGTGCAAGCTCTGGAACTAAACTACTTCAATTTCTCTTTCTAGTTCCTTGGACAAGTCACTTCTGTCTCATTTTCCTCTCTTGAAAATAGAGTAATAATAAAAATAATCATACCCACTACAATATTTTTATGAAAATTAAATAATAGGGACCAGCAGTTAGCATAATGGCTATGTCACTGGACTCCCATGTAGTCGACCGTGGCTCGAATCCCGGACCCAGTGGCTTAAAACTCACCCAGGGCACGTGTGCGTGTGTGCCCAAGATCCCGAGAGGAGAATGGAAGAGAAGGGATTGTGGTGTGGCCATCCCCCCTGGGGGGGTGATTTCTCAATTTCTGTCTCTCTTTCTCTCTCTGTCTGGAGAGCGCACGCACCCTATAGCAAAAACCTCTAATTTTGCATAAAGTAAAAGAAAAAAATTAAATAATTGCAGTGCTAGGCACTCAGTAAACAGCTGGTTAGCTAGTATAGTCATTCTTCTTCAGACTTGCATAAAGTTATATTTTATCGATAAACTATAATTTACTTTACGAGGCCCCTATTGAACACAAAAGTGATTTCCAACTTTTTCCTATTTCAAATAATACTTCAAATCATACTTATGATATTAGGTCATTGGAAAAGTCATGATGCATTTTTGCATAGAGAAATACATCATGACTTTTCCAACGACCTAATATATATTTTTACATGCATTAGTAAGTTTAAGTGTAGGGTAAAATATTTTTTATTTTTTTGAGAGAGCACATGCACTCACGGAAAATACAGAGAGAGACAGAGAGAGAGTGAGAAATCACCCCCGGGGGCAAACGGCCATACCACAGTTCCTTCTCCTCCATTCTCCTCTTGGGATTTTGGGCATGCACATATACATACCTGGCATGAATTTCAGGCTATAGGGCCCAGGACTCAAACTGTAATCAGCCATGTGGGAGTCCAGCACCACAACCACTACACCAACTGCTGGCCCAGGTTAGGTTAAGTTCTTAAGAGTAGAATTGCTGAGTCAAGGGGCAAATATTTTAACTTTTCCTATTTTTTTTAAAGAATTATTTCATTTTTATTTATTCATTCATTTATTTTAATTTGACCAGAGAGAGATACAGAGAGAGAGAGTGAGAGGGAAAGTGAGAAAGCAAGCCACCAGGTCTGGGACTCAAACTGTGGTTGGCCATGTGGGAATGTCCAGCACCTTAACCACCATGCACCTGCTGGCTCCAACTTTTCCTATGTTTTGCCAAAAATTTTCTAAAACACAATCATCCCACCAACACCACATGAAAGGGTCATCTTATCTATACTTTAATCCATGTTTAGTTTTCATTTACTCATGAACTTCAGCATAAAGAAAATGTAATAAATTATTTTTATTAGCTAAAACAAAGAATACTATTTCTTATAATGGACAAATGTAAAGAGGGTCTGAGACTGGGTTAGCATGTTAATGTGTCTCATTTAGGTAGCTTAAGCAATATCAAGTTAGGAACTCAGATTGAAGTCAGATACTTCTGAGATCAAATTCTTATCTGCCATTTCTAGTTCTGAGAATGTGGACACAAATACTTTCAATGTTACCTATAGGAAAGAGATAAAAACAATATTACTTATCTCACAGTGCTTCTTAGATGCTTAGATAAGATGGTTATATCATATATTTAGCACAGTGTCTGAATATAGAAGGTACTCAACAAACATTAGCTGTTATTTTTTCAGGAAATTTCTAGCAGAGATGGTAAATTTTTTAGACAAATAAATGGATGATTTTTATATGCTTCTATGCAAGTCAAAATTGCTGCTAGAAGACTGAAAATGAAACTGACCTCTAAAATTTGGAGAGCAAATGAGTCTCAAAAAAAAGATTATTTTTTCTTGCTATATTTCTTACACTCCACATACTAAAACTATATATATATATATATATATATATTTAATGTTGGATTGGTTTTCTGGCTAAAGGGTCACACTTAGAAAACGATCATTTAAATAACTGGCACAGCCTTTGTCTCAGCTGAAGTAAATGAGAACCAGTCAAGTGTCCCTCCTGGGAAGAAAAAAGTCACTCCCAAAACACATTAATAAAGATGCTGTGGGTTAAACTACTATTACTGAGCTTGCCCTCACTCTCTCCAATACATCTAAACCTTTTCAGCCAGATTCAGCTCATACGTTTGGTCCCAGCTCAAACAGCACTTGCTCTGGAAACCCTCTGACTCCCCCCAACCCCTTTACTAAGGTTAAGTCTTACAATAGGATGCTATGTTTCCTATCAAAACCTTAATCATCATTTATTATTTATTATTAACAACTTGCATCAAAATCTGTTTTGTGGGAACCAGCAGTTAGCGTAATGGCTATGTCGCTGGACTCCCACGTAGTCGACGCTATTCGCGTCCCGGACCCGGTGGCTTAAAACCCACGCCCGGTGCATGTGTATGCGTGCCCAAGATCCCGAGAGGAGAATGGAGGAGAAGGGACTGCAGCGTGGCCATCCCCTCTGGGGGGTGATTTCTCGCTTTCTGTCTCTCTGTCTCTGTCTGTCTGGTGAGTGCACGCACCTATAGTGAAAAACCTCTCTCTCTCAAAAAAAAAAAAAAAAATCTGTTTTGTTTTATGATCATAAGTGAGTGCAAAGGCTGCATTCCTAGTCAACAGAGTTCCCAGGGTCTAGAATAGTGACCACTCTATTGTACATGTCCAATACACTGAAAGTATATTGCTGAATGAATATCTGGATAAACATTTTGTTTCCTATATAACATAGTTCCATCCTAGGCATTCAAGATATAGAGATCCATATGAAACATTTTGTAGCCCAGGAAGTTCAAAGGCAAGTAAGAATCAACAAACATGATATATAATCCAAGCAAGGCTCTGGTAGTAGTAAGTCACAGAGGAGGCCTACCTTCACCTGAAGTGTCAGAGGACTCACAGAGGAATGTTACACATAAGAGCAACGAATTCCAACAATTGACATCAATTGCTGGCTTACAGAAGTTAACCAGTTCACTGTCAAATTGATTTCCTTCAGGAGAAATCAATCAATTTTTGTTTCAATACAACAAATTTTCTTTTCATCTAGAATTTTATAATCAGAGATGAGCAAGGAGTATGGCAGTTAAGGCAGTGAACTCCCACATAGCTGACTGCAGTTAGAGTCCTGGACCTCGTGGCTTGAAAATCACACTGGGCACATGTGTATGCTCAGAATCCCAGGAGGAGAATGGAGGAAAAATGATTCAGGAATGGCCATCACCCCTGGGGAATGGGGGTGATTTCTCACTTTCCCTCTCACTGTCTCTCTCTTTCTGTTCAAGTGCACATGCCCTATGGGGGGGGAGGGGGGCTTCTAAAAACATAGAATATTATAATCCAAAAAAGTCGAGTCTACTATTTTGAAATATCATCCACAATCTTGTTCACAATGCTTTTATTTTTAATTTTACTATACGGAAAATTTCACTTTTAAAATATACACGTTGAGGGACCAGCAGTTAGCGTAATGGCTATGTCGCTGGACTTCCATGTAGTCGATCACAGTTCAAGTCCCAAATCTGGCAGCTTAAACTCACGCAGGGTGCGTGTGCGTGCGTGCCAAAGATCCTGAGAGGAGAATGGGGGAGAAGGGATTGTGGTGTGGCCATCCCCCCTGGGGGGTGATTTCTTGCTTTCTGTCTTTCTGGCAAGTAAACATGCCCTATAGCAAAAATCTCTCAAAAAAAAAAAAATAATAATAATAATAATAAAATATACACGTGAAAATAACATTTTTCTGTCAAGAAATCTCAGTTCATTCATAAAAGCAAAATTTACTA